AATCTTGGTGTGAGGATTAGATGTCTGAACAAGCTCCGGGCACACAGCAGGTGCCTGTGGATGATGCTGTTAGGAGCAGGAGCCTTCCTGGTCTCTGTGAAAAAACACGCAGTGCCCTGGCTGAGTTTTGTCCAGGCTTAGTGGGCGCCTGGCCGGCCTGCTCCCTGGAGTTCTGTCGGGGAATCTGACTTGTTTAGTGCACCTGGGCCGGGGCCCAGGGATGAGCATGCCTTGGTGGGTAGCAGGAAACCCTCATGTCGGCTGCTGGCTCACAGGGTGAACTTCTCGCTGCCTGGCCCTGGCCCTGGCCCTGAGCAATGGCATCTCACATCCCCCAGGGGCCAAAGGCACGAGGACCCAGAGGGCATCGCTGCCGTGAGGGAGCCCGGAGCTCTGCTTCCGGATCTGAGCCCTACCAGTCCCACCTTGCCACACTGGGGACCCAGCTCCCCACACAAGGGCCTTTGGGGGACCCCAAAGCATGTCTGGCCCTATGAGCTGCAGGCAGCTGATGGGTCATCTGCCCCTGGATCCCAGCTGTGGCCGCAGGTGACCCAGCGAGGCCTCCCAAGGACCCGTCTGAGGGGGCCAAGAACGGCACCCGGAGGAGGAAAAGTCCCCAGCTTCCCTGAGCTTCCTGCGGCACCATCCCGTTGCCCACCGAGGGCACTGGGGGTTGGGGTCACCAGCTGTGGGGAAGCCCCTGAATTTCCTGCACCAGGTTGGGTCTCGGTGTTTTGTTTAGCACCCAAAGGCTCTGGGATTCCGGGTTCCCTTGGGAGGGCTTCCAGCCCCACCCCCAGGAGCTGGCTGCACTGCGGCTGCGCTGGCTGGGTGCTACCCCCGCCTCGATGGCACCGGGGCCCCTGTGTCCCTCACGGAGGCCGCAGCTCACCTTGCTCTGAGTGCGAGGGACTTCCCCTCACCCCTTTCAAAGTACTTTCACACCTGTAGGGGCTTCACAAACCGCCTGGAACCACGCCAGGAGCCAGGGCTCTGTCCCCAGCTCTTTGGAGTCTCTGAAGCAACTGGGCAGGCTCAGTCTGGCTGCAGAGGGCTTCAGTCCCCCCGGAACCATGGGCCCCAGAGAGGCTCTTGGTGGTGAGAATTCTGGGAAGGGCCGAGGAACAATGGCTGGACAGGTTTTGCACAAAATCAGCATGTAGCTGGCACATGCCTCTAATCCCAGCATTTCTGGGAGGCTGAAGCAGGACGGTTCCAAATTCAAGGCTGGGGCAATCTACTGAGATCCTGTCTCAAGGAAATTAAAAGGGCACAGGTGTGGCTGAGGCGGGACGTGCTCACCTAGTGTGGATGAAGCCAAGATTAGACACACACGCACACACCTGTAGCTATTATTTTTATTTTTACTTAACAATATCACTCTCTAGGTGATGGGCACCTACCTGCCACACACGTCCCTTCCTTTGTGGGGTTCTGTACGTAGGAGGGACCCAAGGGAGAGATGCACATGCCATTTAAGGTCCCTCTGGCAGCCCCTCTGAGGGTAGCGGGGGGGGGGCACAGACTCTTTTTTTCTTTTTCTTTTTGTTCCTTTTTTTTTGGCACTGAGGATTGAACTCAGGGTCTTCCCACTAAGCTATATCCCTAGGCTCCCCCACTTTTAAAATTTTTTAAAATTTTGAGCCAGGGTCTTGCTAAGTTGCCCAGGCTGAGCTCTGCCTGGTGATCCTCCTGTCTCAGCCTCCCAGACGGCTGAGGATATAGGCTTTTCCTAGTTGTATGATGCCCTTTATTTATTTGTATTTTAAAGGGAATAAAACAACAGTAAAAAGGAGCTGAAACGGCTAAAGATGGCAGGAAATCTACAACAGTTCCTGTGTTGTGTATGGCCGTCCTCTGAGTAGCTCCTCGGGCTGCCCGTTTCAGGCTGGCCCTCAGGCGGGAGTTTAGGTGCTTTCCTGGTCCTCGGGCGGGCGGTGCTCACAGGTAGGGGCTTTCATCCTGCTTCTCCTCTTCCTGCGCTGGCCGGCTCACAGGTGGAGGCTTCGCTTCCCTCCTGAGTCTCCCTGGTCTGCCCAGGCTGCCTCCTCCTCCCTTAGTTTATTTTTGACTGGTGAAATTAGTCAGCCGTAGTTGCAAACTTCTTTTTTCTAGGAATTGTCATGCTGTTTTCTTTTTTCTTGGCTTTGTTTTGTTTCATTTCTTTTTCTGAGACGGGGTCTTGCTATGCAGTTTAGGCTGCCCTTGGCCTCACTATGTAGCCAGGCTGGCCATGGCAATCTTCCTGCCTCAGCCTCTCGAGTGCTGGGATTACAGGCGTGCACCACCATGCCTGGCTGTCATGCTGCTTTCTGAAAAGGGTTGTAACATTTACCAGCAGAGTATGAATGAGTATTCTGATTTTACTACAATCTTCGTGCTAGATTTTTCCAAAATCGGTTTTATAAATAAAAAAAAAACATTGATGATGTCACAGGTCTAAGAGACTATCAAAGGTTATTTCATTTGCATGTTTTTGATTACTAGAAAGACTGAATGTTTATAATATGTAATTAATTTTATTTGTATTTTTCCTTAACTCAGCTTGCCTGCTTGCCTTTCTTTCTTTCTTTCTTTCTTTCTTTCTTTCTTTCTTTCTTTCTTTCTTTCTTCCTTTCTTTCTTCCTCCCTTCACCTTATTCTTTTTGGTATTCCTGAAGAATAAACCAGGGACACTCAACCGCTAAGCTACACCCCAGCTCTTATTTTGTATTTTGAGACAGGATCTGTTAGCAGCCCACACTGATCTCAAGCTTCCAATCCCCCTGCCTCAGCCTCCTAAGTAGCTGGGTTACAGGAAGTGCCTCTGTGCCTGGCTGTGTAAGCTACTTTGTGTGTAAGTTGTTTTTCTCTCTGTGTGTGTGTGTTTCACAAGCATTTATTTCTTCAAGATGCCAGCTGTTCTGTAGTAAGACATGCAGACTGGGAAGCACACATCCTGAGTTCCTTTGTTCCCTACCTGGGTCTGTGGCTCTCCTGGGTGGTCACTTCCATGGTCACTTACTTACGGGGACAGTGCAGGGGGCCCTTGGGAAGGGAGCTCCAAGAGCAGTTTTTCTAGGTGGGATCAGGAGTTCGGAGAAGGAAGGACTTTGGGTGGTCAGCTGTGGAGACTTCACTGCAAAGCTCTGCTGGGGGATCTGTGGCCACCCTATGCCACCTCCATTAGACAGGGAGGCTGGCACTACAGGGCAGGCCAAGGGGAGGACGCTGCGGGGGGCAGTCCTTGGGCCATTCTATGCTCAGGGAAAATAATTGATCCACCCTGGATGTATATATTTTTAAAACAGGGTCTTCCTATGGAGCCCAGGCTAGGTTTGAATTCACAGTCCTCCTGCCTCAGCCTTGTGTGTGCTGGGAGCATAGCTCTGCCTCATCTTCACTGAGAGCATAGGAGTGCTTGGCTGTTTCTCAGCCTGATTTCCATGTCTGAAAACATAAAAAGCTGTCCAGAGCACCCTCGACCTGGGCCCTACCCCATGCATCACAGCAGAAATATGCACTAAATACAGAAGAGAAGCAGGAAAGAGAGCATGGCATGGGAAGCACAGGAATGGGACAGCAGTCCTGTGCAAACGAGAGGCTGATGAAGCGGGCTTGTGTTGCTTCTTTGGTTATGCATTTTTTGGTACTGAGTTATGAATGCAGGGTCTCTGCACTCAGCTACAGCCCTAACCTTTTTTATTTTGAGACAGGTTCTTGTTAAGTTGTAAAGTTGCACCTGTAATCCCAGCACTCAGGAGGCTGAGACAGGAGGATTGCCTTTAGTTTGAGGCCAGCCTGGGCTGCACAGTGAGTTCAAAGCCAGCATACACAGCGAGACCCTGTCTCAAACAAACAAAAATAAAATAAAACACTGTAAAGTTGCCCAGGTTGGGTTTGAACTCGTGATCTTCCTGGCTGTGTCTCGTAGAGAGCTGGGATTACCTGCGTGTGCAATTGCACTGCTTTTTTCTTTTGATAGTAGTGCCAGGCAGGGAACTCTCAGGGGCTGGAGAATACTTACAGGATTGTAACCAAATGCTCTATTCTATCCATGAGTTCTCCCAATACTCAGTCTATTTACCCATCCATCTATCCACACACCTGTCCATCCACCCATCTGTCAATCTGCCCATCTATCCACTCGCCCATTCAGCTGCCCATCCATCTAACAATTCAGCAATCTACCTACAGAGTTACCCATCACCCAACCATCTGTTCATCTAGCCCTCCTCCCATCTATCCATCTACCCACCCATCAATCCCCCACATCCACTCATCCACCCATACATTTACTAATCTTTCTTTTTTTTTGTCTTTTTCCTTTTTATCGGTACCGGGGATCGAACTCACGACTGCCTGCTTGCAAGGCAGGCACTTATGCCGCTGAGCTAAATCCCCAGCCCCATTTACTCATCTTTCCCTCATCTGTCCATCCATCCATCCATCCATCCACCCATCCATTCATTCATCCTGTCCATTCTTCTATCCTCCTTCCACCACCCAGTCAGCCTCACACTCATCTACCCACCATCATCCATCCATCCATCATCCATCCATCTATCCATCCATCCATCATCCATCCATCCATCATCCATCCATCTATCCATCCATCCATCATCCATCCATCCATCATCCATCCATCCATCATCCATCCATCCATCATCCATCCATCTTCCTTCCACTGATTTGTTTCACAGTAAATAGTTATGAGTGGGGATGAGTGAGTGCTGGTTTGCAGTCTCCTGATTCCAGTAGCCCCTTCCACAGAATCCCTAGGGCGTGGGCAAAGGTCAGGTTAACTTAGTGTCAGGAGCCTACCTGGCCTTCCCTTGGGTGGGTGGGGATGGGGTCCTCGGGACCCCCAGGGGCTCCTAATGTCCTGTGGGTGCCCTGTTTCCGGGCTCCAGCTGCGATCCCCACCCCCAGGCCCTCCTGGGACCAGAAGCCCTGGAGCCGGCCTGGCCCGTCAAATCCGGGGCGGGCCATTCAAACAGCCAGGGGGAGCCGGCGGCGCGGTCCTGAGTCATCTCTGCACGTGTGGCCCCTGTCTTCTTTGCAGCCAGCGGCCGCGTTCCTGGAAGCCGCTCTGGGGAGCGGTGCACCTCGGGACGGCCGGTGGGGGAGAGGCCAAGGCTGACCCGGGAAGAGGCTGCCCCTTGGGCAGTGACGCTGGCGGGGAGCGAGCTGCAGGCCGGCTGGGGCACCCTCCGCTGCGCACGTGCGCGCGCCTGCCCACCTCCCGGGATGCGCGCCCTCCGAGCCGCCCTGGCGCTGTCGCTCCTGGGGACCCTGCGAGCCTTCCCGCAGGTAAGGGGGTGACAGGAGCGTGGGGAGGCGCCAGAGGTCCACAGACCACAAGTGTGGCGCTCGGCACCGGGAGGACAGGACACTCACCACCTCCCTGTCCAGCTGGGCTTAGCGGGTGCAGGTGACGAGCGGGGGCGGGAGGGCTGGAGTGGGCGCGTGTTCCCGGGTGGGAGGTTGACGAAGGGCCGCCGAGCCCCCGGAGCCCGAGGTTGCTGGGGTGGATTCGTTCATCTGACGTGAATGGGCTGAGAGAGACAGGAGGGAGCTGTGTGTCCTGCCTGCAGGTCTGTGGGGGTCCCCGGCAGATCTGGTGAGCCCCAGGGGACTCTGGAACCTGCCGGGGTGTGACCGCTGTAGGCTCGGCTGGACGGCCTGGTGGGGTGTGGGGGGAGCAAAGGTGAGGGTCTGGCATCCCTCAGGGGAAGCCCGGGGGAATGCTTTGGGAGGAGCTTTAGGAAAACTTGCTCCCCAGTACTTCCCTGCCCAGCGCGGAGCTGGGCACAGAGGCAGGGATGGGGGACATGAAGGTGACTGGCTGCGATCCATTCCAGCGTGGAGCCAGCTGGGACCTCGAGAACAGAGGAGGGGAAGGGAGAGCAGCAGGGCCTGGGGGGGCTACACCCCTCCAGGGAAAGAGCGAACCCTCACTCTGGAGTTCAGCCCTACTGATGCAGGAGAAAGGAGAGGCAGGCGAATACCAGGGGGCAGTCACTCAGCGGGGAAGGAGGTGCCCCTTCCATCTGCCAGGGGACAGTGTGGGGCCCCACCCAGATATATCCACCCCAGACCCCCATACCCGGGCCTGGGGGACACTGAGTCTGGGGTGCCAGGGCCTGGGGGAGATGAAAGGGAGGAGTGTGAGGGGCTCTGGGGGTAGGGGCTCCCGTGTCTGCTGGCTGAGGCTCATGGGTTCCCCCAGAGCACCCCCGCTTCTTAAATTAAAAAGATTGCCACACATGGAATGATACACACCCTGTGACCGTGCCAAGAGCCACGAAGGTAAAGCTGCAGGTCGCCCAATTCCTGTGCAGATGTGACCCCTGTCATTGCTCCCATGTTTTCTTTAGGGAACTTTCCCCGTGCACATCTAATGGGCTTTTCCCTAAACCCTGACCTGCCGTGCCTGTGATACGTCTTTAGGCTTTCACAATTCTACTGTAGAGCATAAAGAGATTTCTCCACAGTTACTTAGAGATCCTGGCTTACTTGAAGAGGCCGTGTAGAATTCTCCCAAACTGTGCCTTCTGAGGCTGGGGCCGTAGCTCAGTGGCACAGCGTTTGCCTAGCCTGTATAAGTCCAGGCTTCAAGTTGAGAGTTTTTAAAAATATCCCTGACAAATGAGTGACAAGGGTGTCATCTCATTATTATTATTTTGGGGTTTTTGAGACAGAGTGTCACTACGTAGCCCTGGGCTGACCGGGAAACCTTTCTGATCCTCCTGCCTCAGCCTCCTGAGTGCTGGGATTACAGGCGTGCACCACGGTGCCCAGGAAATCACCTTATTTTCTGTCAGTTTGCTCTCTTCATAAACAGCCCTTTGGGAATGCGTGGGATTCCTTCCTAGAGAAGAGGCAGAGAAGAGTGGGCTCAGGGTGCCCAGAGCAATTTTCATTCAGAAGAAATGAGAACAGGCCTGAGCCGCCTTCCAGGGGGCTGGACCTTGTGTCTTCCCACCACTGTGCGGAGTAGCGACTTTCCCACATCCTAACCGACACTTGATCTTATCGGAGGAGTTTGTACTCGGTGACCTTGACATCCTGTCTGTCCTTACTGTTTGTACTTGCATTTCTGCCCTGGAGCCCGGGCACCCACCGCACGGGCCTCCGGGAGGCGCTGCCGCCTGCTGCTCCCTCCGCTCGGGTCCCTCTCACCTCTCCCATCCCCGTTTTCAGGAAGGAGGGGAAAGCTGTGAATAAAAATCTCCCCTCCAGGCTTGCAGTGCACTGAACCCTCGGCCCTGCTCTGGGGGCAGCTGATCTGGTGAGGCTGGCGTTTTGCAGCTGGCCTCCGAGGCCAGAATGTGCTTTGATGTCGCCCACCGATGTGCTCCCTGCCAGTGGTTTTCTAAAGCAGCCGAGGAATTAGTCTGGTGACCCGGGAATTCTTTGGCACAAATCCGGAGAGGACAGTTTGCTCCCCGCATGTCCTCCCTCGGGCCCGGGGCGGGGAGGGTTGGCACCTTTCTGCGAAGTTGAACGTGGTTAATTTAGAATTGTGTCTCCTCCCAGGCCGCGCTGAGGCTGCGGAGCCGGGTCCCCCTGTCCCCTGTCCTCCTCCCAGCTTCCTCCGTATGATGGGGCCCCGGCAGGCGGCTGTCAGGGCGCTGGTGCCCTGTAGCTTCTACTTCAAAGCTCTCCCCACGGGGTGGCAGCTCACAGCAGGATCTGAGGTCTTGGCCCTGGGGCAGGAGAGGCTTTCTGGGTTTTGGGGGCGGGGTAGAGGTAGGAGAGTGACTTTTTTGAAGGGGGAGCAGAATTCCACGTGCTAAGGGGGGAGTGGAAGTTGGCCCAGGCTTGCCTCCTTCCACTGCAGACTGAACCCAGAGCCTTCACCCTAAGATAACATCCCTTACTAGTTTTTTATTTTATTTTTTTATTTTCAGTCAAGGTCTCCCTAATTGCCCAAGGCTGAGCTTGCACTTGCAATCCTCCTGCCTCAGCCTCCCGAGTGCTGGAATAACAGGAGCGTGCCACCTGCAGCCTGCAGCTCTGGCTGGGGTGAATCAAGGGCCCCTTCCCTGCCATGGGGCTGGGGCCGGGACCGCATTACTCAGCCCGAGAGCAGCCTGCGCTGGGAGGAGGGCAGCCCTTACTGGAAGTTTCTCTGCTCCCACTCATACCTAGCCCAGGCTCTTCTCGAGTAACTGTGATTCATCCTTGGGTTCGTGCATGCTCGCAGCAGCCCTTCACCTCAGGACAAATGTCAGGAAGAACATGGGGGCCTGCGGGGCTTGGGGTCCTTGTACAGACCCGCTAGGGCCTCAGCTGGATCCCAGTTTCCAGAGCCCCAGACAGGACATGCGTATATCCAAAAGAGAAAGCCATGGACCTCCTGTCTCTTTCCTCCCAGCACTGCCCTGAGGGATTCTGGATGCAGGGAGGGGTTGTTCCAGCATCTACAGTGGGAAACCACTGGGCATCCCCTGTGGCCTTGCTGGTGGGGAGGGACTTTTTGTTTGTTTGTGTGTGGTGTTTTTCAGATAGGGTTTGCCGTACAGTTCAGGCTGGCCTTGAACTCACTGCAATCCTCCTGCCTCACCCTCCTGAATACTAAGATTACAGATGTGCACTGCCATGCCTGGCTGGGGAGGAACTTTTTGTGCATCACCCAGTCCGGTTACTCATTGCATTTCTAAGTCCTTCAGTGACATTTATCCAATCATCCATGTATGCAGTAAATCTTTGACAGGCAGCTGCCCAGGCAGGTGCAGCTCCTCAAGGCTCCCAGCCCAGCCCAGCCCAGCTGTTTGTACCCATTTGGGCTGTTTGTTTCCCTCCAGAGGAAGCAAACACAGCTTACACTCTCCTGTGTGTAGCTCCGACCCTTGCTGAAATCTATCTCCTTGGAGCCTGTGCTGGTCTTAGAGGCTGGGGTCTCCCCCTTCCCTCCTCTCAGTGAGCTGAGGGTGTTCACTCGGTCCTCTGATGTGTAGCCATCATGTGACTCCAACCTGCTCTGAACAATTCATTCCTCAGACATTTACAGAGCACCTACTGTGTGCCAGGGAGCACTCCGGGTACGACCGGTACCTTCATGCCCAGCATGTCAGGGGCCACAGGCAGGACAGCACGTGTGGCCATGGGTGGTGGGTGCCATGCAGGGAGCAGAAGGGGGCACAGCTGCTAGTCCCGGGGAGATGAACAGGGTGTGACCAGGGAGCAAACAGAACCAAGGTTCCCGGTGGCGAGGAGCCGGCATGGCCAGGGCAGAGCATAGGAGGTGCTGGGCTGTGCAGAGCCTGTGGGCTGCGGTCAGTAGAGTGGCATCGGGTGACACAGGTGCTGTGGGGCTGCTGTGTTGGGGGCCTGAGCCAGAGTCTGCAGGATTCAGGCACAGCCCGTGGGAGCGTGCAGTGGGAGAGGTGTCCGCTCCTGGGTGCGGCCTCTGGTCAAAGTGTCTGGGAGAGAAGGACCAGCTCTATTTTGCCCAAGTTCAAGTGCGAGGTGGGGCTGGGTGTCCACAGGTGGCCCTGGGCCACGCAGAGCTCAGGCCCTGGATGTGGCAGATCTCTGGGTCTGGAGTCAAGTGCAGACATGGACCTATACCTATCCTTACTTCTGTGAACGAAGCCGAGAGCTCTCTCTGCTGAGACAAACTGTCACCGACTGGGTGACTGAGGAGGAAGTTACTGTCTGGCAGCTCTGGGATCTGGGATTCAGAGTGAGCCAACAGGGCTGCGTCCCCGCTGGGCCAGATCTGTGTCTGTGCCTTTTCCAGTGGCCGGGGCTGCTGCTCTCTGGGGCCCGGGACCCCACGTCACCCCTATGTCACTCTGTCCCCAAGAGCACCTGCATTGTCCTCTCTCGCTCTGGGCTTCCGCCTGCCTCCCGGAGTGACCTGTGTTACCTCCACTCACAGATAATCCAGCGTGGCCTGAGTTTGGCCCCATCAGCAGGACATGGAAGGCCACATACTCTGCCTTCTGGACCTGGGTGTGACTTCTCTGGGAGGCTGCTATTCTTCCTACGGCACATGTTTCCATTTGGGGAGATGGCACAGCGTCCAGCCAAAGCTTTGGACTTTTCAGTCACACTTCTCAGTTTATACTCTGAGTCACCATCATCAGACACCATGAGTCACCTCTGTGTGCCTTGATTTCTCCATCCACTAAATGGGGCCATAGCTGATCATAGTGCCCCATGCCTACAATTCCAAAATGTGGGAAGCTGAGACAGGAGGCTCACTATAAGTCTGAGGCCAGCCTGCACTACCTAGTGAGACCCTATGTCAAAACAAACAAAGCAGATTGATACAGACTGAAAAATTCATAAAGAAAAGT